AGTGTCTTCACTATACTATTCTCGTAACCTCTGTAGATTCAAAACTTATCAAAGTAAAAACCTGAGAGAGGGAATCAGAAAAAAAAAGTTAATATTTAAAGACAGTTTTAGATGACAAATTCTAATACAAACACTGTTAACAGACTTCTAAGTCTTACGAATAGACTTATTTTAAGTAACCTTTTTTTTTTTTTTTTTAAAGATTTTATTTATTTTTTGCCCCCAAAGCCCCAGTAGATAGTTGTATGTCACAGCTGCACACTCTTCTAGTTGCTGTATGTGGGACTCGGCCTCAGGATGGGAAGAGAAGTGGTGCCTCGATGCGCACCCGGGATCCGAACCCGGGCCGCCAGCATCGCAGCGCGCGCACCTAACCACCAAGCCACAGAGCCGGCCCTTAAGTAACATTTCTGCTATAAAGACATCATAATAATTTTTCTTCTATTTTTTTATTTAGACAGTATGAAAAGCTTCCAGTGTGTTCTTCTAGCCTATTATTAAACTAGTGTTTTCTCTATAAAAGAAACAATGTATACTAATATTTGGACTAGAATTAGCATTTTAATGAAATATATAAAGTCAAACTAAATAAATTAAATTTCTGATAATCTCCCCAAACTAAAAAATAACGGCCGTGAACCTATCTTTAAAAACTTGCAATTGAACAAAATGGAAAACTACATTCAGAAACACTAATGATAATTTCTTTTAATGTACAGCTTCAAAGAAACATTTTTCCTCTTACTACAAAAAATGAGTTGTGCTGAATTAGCATACTAGGTAAAACTACTTTAAAAGTTGTATGTAAATCACTTTTGAAACAAATACAATACCTAAAAACAAATTCTTCAGGATTTTTACGCAAAACATAAAAGAGAGAATTTAAAAATTCAACATGAAATATAAGTATTAATTGCTAAAATACAATTTAAAATAATCTGTAAAAATATATCTCTTAAAACTAGCATAGGACCACTCAAGATAATACAGGTAACATTAAATTCACCTAAAATCACAGACTCCATGCATTGAAAATCAATTCCCACTATAAAGAGAAAGATTAAATATTCTAATAGCTCAAGTCATAGAAAAATTTGTACATTGAAACAGAATTTTATAATACTAAAATTAAGATTTTTCATAATAAAAAGATAACTAACATAAAAAATGAAATAAATTAGGAAAATACCTGTAATCAATGGCAAAAGCAGAATACATTATTCTAAGAGTTCATAAAATTAGCATTAGAAACTCAACAGGTAAATATCAATACAGAAAATATAAAGTACAAAAGGTTAAAAAGCTAAGTAAATATGGATATATGTTCAACAAATAATGAAATACAAATCAATAATAAGCTGTCATTTTACCCTAATAAGTGGTAAAATTACATCTCCCAATAATACTAAGGTTATGGGACACCAGTACACTCACACAATGCTGGCGCAGGCTTAAATCCGTATAATTTGTAGAACACAATTTAGTGATATAATTCATTCTTTTTAATGAATATTTTAACTCCTTTCATATGCTAGACACTGGGGATAAGCAAGAAAGCCACGATCCTAACCTCACACAATTTACAGCCTATTGTGCAAAGACAGAATTTTAAAAGATTTAATTAGAGGGCATGGTAATTGCTTAAGTAGGAAAAAAATAGAGATTGTTAGAGAAGCTCACTACACAAACATCCTACCTGGTCTGGAAGGGCTGGGGAAAATCACTGGTTATTTACTGGTTGCCAAGCACCTTGCAAGGCATGGGGCTTAAATGATGAACACCATGTGGTATCTACCTGCAAAGTCGACAGTCTAGAAGTGGATAAAGATTCACAACCACAACAGACGCCGTTGAGTACACTAACAGAGAGGATACAGAAAAGGGAGAAGCAGTGGGCAGGGAAGGGAGATCACACTAGCTGGATAAGAAGTGATGAACACATAGTTAAGGCAATAGGAAGGAAGAGGCTATCAGGACCAACGGTGCGGAAGGAGATGGGGAAGAAGAGCCATTGTGGACTGACACGTGGAAAGTCAGTTGTCAACCAGGATACAAAATACAGATGAGGGAAGATGTGAGGAGCTAGACCAAGAATACAGGTTTGAACAAGAGTGTCTGAGGCATCCGAATCAGCAAGGTCAAAATGACCAATACGCAGCTGGAAATACAGTCAGAATACAGCTCAGAAAAGAGCTCTGGATTGATCCTGTGACTATCCAGGGAGTAGAGAGAGAAAAGAGCAGAGTCCTAAGGAACATCAATATTTAGAAGTCAGGAATAGAGAGAAGATTCCAGGAGCAGAGGGATCAAAGGGCTGAGACACGTCTCAGGAGCCAGAGACTGACAGAGTTGAAAGAAAGAAAGAGGAAGTGGTAACCAGTGTCAAATGGACAAGAAAAGTAAGATTAGCCCCAGAAGAACAACTCAGAGGTCAGAGGCGACTGCAATGAGAGCTGGTTTTTACTCAGGTGGCAGGCGCTGCTCATAATGAGCGGGCTGAGGTGTGAAGTTGTTTTGTTGCTGTTTAAGGAAGCAAGGCCAGTAGATACGCTTGTAAGAAGTTTGCTCTTGAAGAGAAAGTGAGTAAGCCAAGAATGCTTGAAGGAAAAAGGGTTGAAAGCAAGCTGCTGTAGGGATTTTGTGTTTGGTTCTGTTTCAAGGACAGAAGAGAGAAGAGGTGTGAACATTCGGACAGTCAGGGAGATGACTCAGATGCAGACACGAATTACTACAAGCCTATACACATCGACGGTGAAAACATCTGTGATGGGTCTTGAGGTGATTTTTGCTTTTTTATGTTATTTTATGTTCACCATAGAATAAATTAATTGGGAGGAAATAATCCCCCAGATGAGCCTTGATCAAAATAAAATTACGTAAAGAATTCATATTACGTAAAGAATTGGGAAAGCTAGGCCAGGCCTGGGGAGGAGAAAATGGTGCCAGCTAAGGGCCCCCTGGTGTCAGGCAAAATGTGAGACCTAAGGTGAGAGGAAAGGGGAATTTCAAAGAAGCTTTATTACCAGGTGGGCAGACAAGCTCTTAGAGTCAGGCAAAAATGAGGTATTAGAGTAAACACTGAAATGGAGGGTGAGAATGATACGGCAATTGTATGGCATTTTGGCTTGTATGTTTGAATAGAGTGATTAACTGTGAGAGAGCCTAAGTTCTAAGTAAGAAACTAAGTTCAAGAGATTTTACATAACGACATGATACATGTAACAAAAAGGTTACAGATATAGACTACAGATGCAATATTACAAGTAGAAAGTATAAAAGAGAACTGTAACTTTTAAAATCTCAAATTTAAGAGAGTAACAAGCACGAGGGTTTACAACATTATGTATCTATCCACAAGTAATTCTTTCCAAGGAACACTTGGAAGCATTAGGAAAATAGTGAGAAGCCAAAATAAAAGGAGTAATAAGCAGAGGCTCCAGGATTCGGATGAGGTCAACTTCCCTGGGCTACTCTTGCAGTCGAGGAGAAAGGGAGATTATTACTCATGCTGTAACTACAAAAGGGCCCCGGTTGTATAAATCAGAGTACACAAAAGTTTTCAAGCTTAGTCAGCTCCAAGAGTGAGTAGATTTATGTCACATGGCTGGAGATAGCACAGTGGTGTTTGCCAATCTCTACCCATTGGCAAACTTTTTTAAGAATGAAAAATATGGAGCTCCAATTCTCCAAAATTATGAACAAGCTGAAGGGTACGACTATCTTTAAAAAGTTAGTTTTTACAAGTTTGAATAATCTTACTTGACTAACCCATATTAGAATTTCAGTCACTCAATTTTTTCCATAGCAATGAGATATAATTAAAATATCTGATTTCAACAATTCCCTCCCAGTTGTTCATGGGATGCATAAAATATTGGGAACACAAGAATTTAAAAATATATACTCCTAATGTATATTAAGAATGCAGCTCTTCCCACCTAGAGTACTTCACCTCCTGCCCTTGAGCCTGGCTAATTTCTTGTTCATCAGGTAGTTGCTCCTCCAGGAAGCCTTCTCTGATGCCTTAAGATGACCCCACCTGATGACTCACCTGTTTCTCCCATCATCATAGCTACAACTTGTCCCCCTCTACTGTAATCTCAGGTTTACTAGAGTGAAAGTCCCATCAGAATGTAAGCTCCAGAAGGATGGAGCCATGTTAACCGGGCTCAGAGTCTGGTTTATGGCACCTAGCACTGTGCCTGGCAAACGGAATGAGCAGAATTAAAATTTAAGTGAACCACAAAAATACAGTAGAAATAGGTGACTTGCAAAGAAATTTTACTCTTAGGAAGGGCATTTCAGGCTATTGCCTCACTCTCCCCTGCCACTGTCTCAGGGAGATGGTCTGTTATCCCATTCCCATCGACACTTGTTTCCTTCATTGAAGGTTAGAGCAGGAAGCAGCCTGAGAGGTCAGCCAACCCAGTGCCTTCATCACCCAGCTCAATGAACAAAGCCAAACTATTCAGTAACTTGAAAGGTCAATAAACAATGTCGTATCTTTCACTCCATCATTAAACACTTATCTTTATCCTCCCACTCCCCAATATTCAATCTCTGCTAATAGCCAATTTAATGCTTCCCCAGTTGTCCCCATCCACCTACAAAACATTTTTTCAGCATACCAGCTTTAAATTAGATAAATGCCATATATGTGTCTGTAAATACCAGTGGAAGTCTATCTTCATCACCTGTTTATCACTTTATCACTTGTTACCTAAAATTACATCATAAATTCTTCTAAGAGCAATAGTTTATCTTAATAACATCTAAAAAATATTTAGAGCATTTTATACAGTATGTACTATAAAAATCAGTGATAACAACTACAAAGTGGGAAAAAAGAATAGAAAACCCAATCAGAAAATGATTTACTTGTATGATAGTATTACATTACATGAAAAGAAACATTTTTACATCCTATTACAGTCAAAAATGTATTATCTACTATCTAATCTTACCTACACTGATCTACCAATTAAATATTAAGTGCCTACCTAAGAGCCGCTTCCCAAAAGCAGTTCATTCCACAAACATCAGAGGGCAGCATCCAATAGGGATTCCAGTAACACAGAGGGAAATCTTTACACCTAACAGAGTAAGACACAAATAAAGAGTCCTACATGAGTATTTCGGTTTAAAACTAACAAGGAACTTACTCAATAACACAATAACTTATTGTTCTATTTTACACCAACAGAACTGCAAATCCAATTTTGCAAATCCAAGATTGCTATGGTAACCTGAGGATTTTTGGAAATTGACTTCTCCCTTACTTGGGGTGCCATTATTTTAAATAGAACTTTAAAACCTTTAGATAGAATACACTACAGAGTGGAAAACAGTTTTCTAGTCAGGAACTCTCCTACTATATTAAAATCTCCTCCTCAGATAACACAGAAAATATGGAAATACTTCTAAAATTTTCCTTCATGGACTATATATACTCCCCCTAGAATAAAATCCATTTCAGCCAAACACAATATTTGCTTATTCTGAAACAAAATTAAAATGCCATAACTGCTGGTGGAAAGGGAAGAGAGGATCTTTAAACGCTTTTAAACTAATCCTCAATCCAAGCTACTTGTAAGGTGTTTTAAATTGAAAAATAAGAAATCATGCTGATATTCATGGCTCAGTTTCATTACCTACATTATCTCAGTTTCACTATATTACACAAGCTAAAATGGAGGATCAAGGGTGATCTTTCTTCTTGGATTGCAGGTTGGAGTTAAAAAAAAACCAGCAAGGCCTCACATTACAAAAAGCATTTTTTTTCCTTGTTACTCCTTTTCAAAACAATAGTCTAGTTTGAAATTCACTACAGTGGAGGCCTGGGTACTAAAGGAAGCAAGTATGAAGTCAGGGTGAGTCACTAAACCAGGTCACCTCATGTCCCATCACCCGTAGCTGTTTTCTCTCACTATAAATTCAATTATAAGTTACTGTTCTTAAAGCGAAAGGTCTACGAAATTTCAGATTTGCAAACATCTCTGAGCACACTCTCACAAATAGCAAGTCTAAGGGAGGCTACCCAGGCTGCATACGGAAATCACCCAGAGAGCCCCATACCAGATCTATTAGGTAGATCTGTTTCTCTCTGGGAAATCACCCAGAGAGCCCCATACCAGATCAGAATCTCTGAGAACAGGGGCAGGCACAGGGGTTACCTAAGTAACGCTGCCTAGGTAATTCTGTTATGCTGCAAAAAAAAACTACAAAGTCAGAATTTTTAAATCAATGGAAAAAAGTTACATTGTAATTTGGTTTTCCTTTAAAGGGACACCATTTTCAAGCACAGCATGAAAAGTTAAATAACTTAATTTAAACAGTAGGTAAATCAGAAAAAGAAAAGAAAATGTGTGCAGCCCAGTAAAACATACAACTTGATCAGGAAACTTATGTTTGTCCCCTCCCAGACACGGTTACGTATTTTTTAAGTCTTGCATTTCATGCTAGAGACAGGCTCAATGGTAGTGGTATCAACTAACACAGGGATCTTTTCAGATTCAAGTATTTTCACAGCCATTTAAGCCTCACAACAAACTGTTCAAATAGAGATCTCCATCTTTCAGATGCAGACATTATTACAGCTTTCTTTCAACAAATCCACAATTTATTCATAATCAACACCTAAAGTGCACCTTTGTTCCAGGAAGGAAATAATAATCTGGTTATCCCATCTCCCCCTGTCAAACCTTACAACAGTAGAAAATCAAAATGGAAAATGAAGTCTCAAAGAAAATGACTCCCTAAATTTTTCTGTAAAAATTATTGCTTGAAATTATGTAATAATACCATTTTCTGCCTCAACTTGCACTCCTCAATCCCTCAGCCCTAGGCAACCACTATTTTCCGTCTATATATAGATTTGCCTGTTACAGGCATTCCACATAAATGGAATCATACAATACGTGGCCTTTTGAGTCTGACTTCTTTCACTTAGCATAATATTTTCAAGCTTCATCCACTGTAGCATTTATCATTACTCTTCATTCCTTTTTATGGCCAAATAATATTCCATTTTATGGATAGATATACCACATATTTATCCATTCATCAGTTATAGGCATTTGGGTTGTTTTCTACTTTTTGGCTATTATAAATAACGCTGCTATGAACATTCAAGTACAATTTTTCTGTGAACATATGTTTTCAATTCTCTTGAGTATAACCTACAAGTGGAATTGCTAGATCATGTAATCATTGTAAAGTAATTAATGCAGATGAAATTGCAGGGAAAAAGTCAAGTTTTAGGTAAGTTTGTTGACCATAAGCCAATGTTAGAAAACACAGTTTATAGAAGGGATGTTTTCTATCTGCCTTTCTTTAATGGAAATATGAAACATATGCACCAGTGAGTACACATGCTGTTTACCATTAAAAAAAAATTATAAAATACTGAGCTGCTGCCAGCAAGAGGTAGTAATAATTCACTTAAAGTTTTTTATCTCCAAAACTTACATTCTCTCACTTACAAAAAATTGGTTTTAAAGATCAAGACAGAGAGTAGAAACTCATGACGTACCAGTAACTGTTACTACAAGCAATAAATTAGGAAAAGCGACTAATCTGGAGACAGCACTTGTACTTTCAAGCCAGAAAAAAATAAAAGTTTAAATATATTGGAAAGGTAAAGGGAGTTATCCAAGTTCTGGTTATTAGCTGCTTTTGCTTTTATTTCTTAAAACTATTGGAAATGGAATATTAGATATACAGTACTCAAAGAGGTAACTCTATTAAATAACTTTAATGGGGAAAAACTGAGAGCCGAGCCCAGTGGGTATGACTTCAGTAAACATTGACATTCAAAATCAGTGAAGTCCATAAAGGCAAAGGTTTTTCACTGTGGATCAAACTGAAATAAAATTTTACTATGGCTTGTCCTCAAATTTCATACAGCCTAATGTTTCAGGTTCTAGGTGGCTTGTCTACAAGCAAACTGCTCAAGGGTAGCACAAGGGATCTTTGTGGTGAGAAAACAGTTCTGTATCCTGATTGTGGAGGTGGTAACCCAAATTTACATGTGATAAAACTACACACACACGACAGCAAGTAAAACGGGTGATATCTGAACAAGGTCTATAGGTTGTCCAATGTTAATTTCTGGGGTTATAATATTGCACTAGATTAATACGTATATATTCCGGATATCGTGGTATTGCACTACACTCATGTAAGATGTAACTATTGGGGAAACTGAGTGCAGGGTACATGGGATGTCTCTGCAACTTCCTGTGAACTTACATTTATTTCAAAAGTTAAAGAAAACTAATCAAAAACATAATTCTCCAAAATTTCAGTACTTGAAAAATGTTTCAAAAATTGAGACATTTCATGCTCTGGATTAAACAGAGCATTTAACAACAATGCTCTCCACAATAACAGTTCTCACACTTGAAGTTTACTTAAACCCAATAACAGGAAGTCTTTTATACTTTTAAATTAAACTGGAAAAGGTATTTTTTTATTTCAAAATGTCCATGATAGTCACGAGGCTATAGTGAAAACCACGCACAACTTACAGAGTCGGGGATAAGTTTAGGCATATCCAGCATAAGAATGTGGGAGTGAGTCTGGATGAAGGGCTGCAAGCCACGAATGCAGCTTTAAGTCCCAGACACCTACACTGTGACTGTGTGAGAGAAGCAGAGATGCCTCCAGCCACAGTAAAGGAGACCATTCCTATGATACTGCAAACCACCATTATCTGAAGATCAGGGCCTGGGTCACTCATTTTCAACTAAAAATTGTGTCTCCAGACTACTTAATTTCTAACTCGAAGTCACGTCTTCACTTCTCTTTCTTAAATCTCTAATTTCATGAATACTAAGGAAGTTGGAAAAGGACTGTTTATATACAAATGGCAATGAACAATTACAATTACCATTTCAAAACTGAGTTAGCATCACTTTACCCTGCCCCCCACCCCAAAAAAAACTGGATTGAAGCTTTAAATGTTAAAGAAGCGGGCAAAAAACCCTGTTGTAGACAGTTTTTCTATGCATGACAAAAGTAGAAACAATAAAGGAAAAAACTGCCAATCTGAATACGCAAAAATTTTAAACTTCACATGGTATACACACAGAAAAAAATTTAAGTCAACATGTGGGGGAAGTATTTCCAACAGGTATGACAAATAGATGATAATCTTAATGTTTTAACATAGGATTTTTAAATCAACAGTACACATTATTTTTTCATTAGCCTAAGCAGTTTCGCCTCCAAAATCATAGAACAATACTGTTTTAATGAATTAATTATGAGTCAGGTTTGTGCTAAGCACTTACAACCACGTGAAGTACGATCCTCAATGAACTAAAATACAAGGCACAGGGTATTGGTTTTATATAAGACATCTCAGCATTAACCAAGCTGAGATTAAGGTGGCTTTAGTAAGTAATACAGCTTTCTTCACTGTTCACTGCCCCAACTCCTCTCTTCTTCAAAAATAACTGCAGGGAAGAGGGGATAAAAAAAGTCTCCACCAAAAACAGTAGTGTGAAAATAGTGGTCCAAAAATGCTTAGCTAAATCGGTGGTTCTCCATCTTTGGTTTTATCACAATAACCCAGAGCACGTATCCAGAAGATTGATTCCCAGACTCCACTGCCAGGCATCCTGCTTTAGAAGGTCTGGACTGAGGCCTGAGGACATATTTTTCCCAGACGTCAGAAATTGAAAAGAATCAATTAAAATTTAAGTGATCAAAATGATCACCATTTCAGCTACAATTTTATTGTGCCAGGCACCATGCTCAGGAATCTATACAAGCTATTTCCTTTCAATTCTCACAAACAACCCAATATCACACATACTCTTACCTCTATTGAACTGATGAGGAAATGTGTTCAAGGTTAACACAGCCCTTAAGTGGTAAAGCTGAACTCTGTCTCCAAAGCCCTTGCTCTTCCCACACTTTAAATTCTCAGTACATCCGAACTGTGTTCACAGGACCCAACAAAAAACACTCAATGGCCAAACGAGATCGAAAAAGAGTGAGGCGACTCCACACAAAGGGCATGACGGGTCCAGAAATGTATCATTCAAATGCTTAGACATTTCTTGGTTCCCCACTACCACACTGCTGTAGAGCCACAAGAGGATGAGATT